CTTAACAGAGCACGTACCCTCCCCAGTGTCTATCACCCAGTCACCCCATCCCTCCCTCCCCACCCCCCACTCCAGCAACACTCAGTTTGTTTCAAAGCAGGTTCATTTTTAAGAAGGAAAAATTGAATTGGTTTCTTTTGCCTTTGAACTGTAGTAATTTGTCTTCTGAGCACAATCCTGAATTTAGGAAAAGTTGTTGACAGCAGGCCGTCAGGCAACCCCACATTGTGTTCTCTCCTGGCCAACAGCGATCTTGCTGTTCCAAGTCTACTGTGAGTCCAGGGTGACGGTTCCACAGCCTTGAGTTCATAGCACGCTTGTGTTTAGAAATCATTGCTCTACACAGTCTAGTTTTGTTATCATAAAAGACCGGATTAAGGAGGAGATATCTGTAACATTTGATTTTAATACACAGGTAAATAATTATTTTGAGCTTTAGTTTATTCATCTGTTCATTTATTTATCAACTCTCTCTTGCCTTCTGTGTCTAGGCACTGTGGCAGGCTCCGCAGATAGAGATGAATGCCTGGATCCTTGCCCTCAATATCCTCACGCTGTAGTGAGGGAGCCAGATGTACAAACTGACAAGGGCAGTAGGTACAAAGGCCAGTGGAGGCCTGGGGAGAAAGGATTACATCAAAATGGGAGGATTTCAGGAAAAGCTTCACTTCACATGAACGGAGTCTTAAAAGAAGCATAAGTTACTTTTCGTTCATTTATCAAATACTTATTTAGCATTCACTATGGGCTAGGCATTGTGCTAGGTGCTGGGAATAGAGTGGTCAGCACAGCACCTGCCCTCAGAACTTACAGCCTCATGTGGGAGACAGGAATTAAAGTAAGTATACATTCATCTAAAAGAATGCACTGTGCTAAGTGCCCTGGAGAAAAAGAACAGTAATAAGAGAGAGGAACAGGAAGGACTATGTGGATAATGGCTGTTTGGGACGTCCTTGCTGAGCAAGTGATATTAAAACATTTTCTAATGAAAGTAATTTACGAACATGACAAAACGTTCAAGTGGGAATATTACATGAAAAATAAGTGTTTTTCATATCCCTCCTCCAAAGTAACCACTCTTAAGTTTATTGTTTTTTCCAGAAAATGTTTTATGAAATACCATATAGCTCTGTCAGTCTGTGCCTATTAAAACTACACAAATGAAGTCATACTGTGCACACTTTTCCTTTATTGTTAACTTGTTTTGAAGAAGTTCTTTACCAGCACATGTAGATCTGTATTGTAATAACAGTTACATAGAAATGCGTTATATGGCTGTATCATGATTTATTGACCCATTCTATTGATGGATATTTTGGTTATCATTTTTGCAACGAATGTGTCTTGGTTTACTTAGGTAAGTACAGACTTCAGATAAATTCCTAGTGGAATATCAGGATTAGGGTATATGTGTGTGTTGCTCAGAATTCTCTGTTGCAAAGCAATAGAATTAATGATTTAAGAAAAGAGGACTATGTTGTAAAGGATAGTAGGTGGCTTACGGAATAGCTGGGAGGGCAAACGCTGGCTTTGGGGCCCAGAGCGGTGTCAGAACTCATGCTGCAGGGTAGACCACGGCAGGCGAGTACAGAGTGTTCCAGACTGCAGTCCTGCCCCAGCTGGAGCTGGCTTACTGCTGGGGTGCTGGGGCCTGGTGCTGGGGCCTGCTCAGCCTCCCTGATGGTTTCAGGAACCCAGTCTGCCTGCCATCCCTTTCACCACTGCCAGAGCGTTCCTTATAGGGGAGGGTGATTGGTGAAGCTCAGTCATTCACTCCTAAAGTGCTGGGATTCCCTGGACGTAGGAAGGAAGTCATACTATATATACTGCCACTGGTCAGCCCAAGAAAGTGACAGAAGGCCATGTAGTGCATTCTGCTTTTTGAGAGCTATTGCCACATTGCCCTCCAACAAGATTGTACTAGCTTATATTTCTACCAAGAGAATATGAGGATGCCTTTCTCTTAACAACCTTACCAACACTGGGTATTTGTGCCAGTCTGATGGGTGAAAGATGGGAAGAGGGAACACGTAAGCGGAGACCTGAAAGGTAGGTAGGAATTAGCCAGGAATTCCTCGGCCCTGCTCCCTGTCCCCAGGGAACGACTTCAGGCCCTGTGTGCATGAGGGTCTGGTGTGGCTGAGGAACTGAAGGGCCAGAGTTGGTTGGTTGGGTGAGGCCAAGGCACTGGGTGGGGGTAGTGTTCAATGCAGGGGTGCAGTGGAAGCAAAGGCGTTCTGGAGGGTGGAGCAGAGGTACGACTAGAAAGCGAGGCTGGAGAGGGTCCTAGTGATACAGGCCCAGTTGTTTGGATTTTGTCCTTGAGGTTCCCATCTAAAGTTGTCATGCCAGAGAAGGATGGGATGAGATTTGCTTGTTAGAGCAGTCTTACGGCTGTAGAAAGGAGGATTGGCATGGGGGAGTCTGGAGGCAGAGAGGGAGATTGCGTCTGGCCAGAAATATTGACGGTGTGGCTGGGTCCCGTGACAATAGGGACGGCTCCTGTCAGAGAGAGCACTTGGAAATGAACCAGCCATTAGGCCAGATCCCAGGTGTCCTCTCCTGATTTCTCAGTATCAGTCCCTTCCTGAGTCTTGACTACAGAGGCCCAGTTAACTCCTTCACGTGGGGCCGTTGCCCTGCCAGGTGGACTCTAGGCCTCTTTTCCTGCTTTGTTTCCTGTCCCTCCCCTAGGCCTTTGTGGCAACAGGGGCACCTGTACCTCTCACCCTCCCCTGCGCAGGCTCCACCCCACTGTTGTAGTGCTGCCTTCCTTCAGAAAGGCCTTTTCTGCCCCACGTGTTCCTGCTCCTCAG